AAGGTAGTTGTCGAGTAAAAGTCGTCGGGGATATCTTCTGGGTTTTTTCGATCTAAGAATCTGTCGTCTTGCATCCAGAACTTGCCGGCGTTCATAGGTGTGAAGAACCCGTGCGCTGGGTCGTCGAGTTGTGGTTCATAGTTGTAGTGATTACAGCACCCTGATAAGAAGACATAGCTATTATCGAAACCTCTCGCGTGAGGTGAGGTCTCATTCGTCGTTCCGAGGTGCCTGGCGACAACATTTAGTCATGGTTTGAGGCTGTGAAGTTGCTCCCAACCTACCATTTTCCAGACATAATTGTATGATAACCAGCATCTTGAAGAATCTCACTAAGCGCAGCAACGCGAAAGTTGAGATATCCCTCATAGCCAGGCCTGTTTTTATACTTATCCATGAACCTCGCCATGTGCTCTGTCATCTGGCCCAGGCCCGCAATGTGGTTGTCCGTTCCGGAGAATAGCATGCTCCTAGTTGGGGAGCATGCTGAAGCCGTATGGAAATTGGTCAGTCGCACACCAGTCTGCGAGAGGCGGTCGAGATTTGGAGTCGCTATCTCGGAGCCAAAGCATCCGAGGTCACTGTAGCCCAGGTCATCGGCGACGATGACGAGAAAGTTGGGTTGCTTGCGGGTTGGAATGGAACCCATATTGAGCTTCAAGAACGGGCTACAGATTATGAAGTTGATGAGACAGCCCTGGTAGAGCAACAGAGAGAATTTCTGAGTAATTATCTACATTTCGTTTCTCAATCCGGGGCTATCTACCTTATTAACTGTTTACGGAGAGCTCATTGGAGTGTGGAGTTGACAGGATCTAGCTATACACACTTGATAATGGAGGGTGCTTGAGGTCCACTTAAGTCCGTCTATCCGCGTCTTCTCCGTCTATCTATCCCAATACGAGGATAGATCTACCTTTGAAAATGCTTAAACAGAAACATTCTACAATTACCATAGGCATAACATACAGTATCAGCCGCCGGCCCAGAGAAGAGGAGTCCCAGAGGCCCTCAACGCGCGGTACTGAACTAATCGGCCCCACTCCGAACGTCTTCCGTCTCCGTCTTTACCCGTCATCTCCGTCCCGGCATACACGGACCCGCCTATCCGCGTCGCCAAAACAACCTATCGAACTCCCCGAAATGCGGGGAACCCCTAGCACGCCATTGACTTTACCAGACATGGACGACTATCGAGTTCCGGGTTCAGTTAACCGAAGCTGAAACCACAGCCATACCTTTGGAAGACACTTACACTCGTCAATGATGCCCGTCCAACATCAAGGATACTATCCAAAACCATGTTCCGTCGCGCCCTAGATCATCTCGCGTGATCGAGTCCAGTTCTGACGACAAGAAGCTTCAATTTATGGCCACAATTGGCAACCATGTATAAATAAGAGCATGTACAGTCTTCGGAAACCAAGAGTTGCATCCAGGCCAGCAACTTGATGATCCGAGACTCTGAGCAACAGGCAGATATGGCCCCTCCTAAACGCACTCGCGGGCTCCTTGCCTGCTTCAACGGCCGCCTCATCTATGCTTGTGGCATGATTGCCTTATCGCAGCTCAACTTCGGCATGGACCAGTCTGCCTTCAGCAACACTCAAGCAATGCCTTTCTTCAAGAGACAGTTCGGAACCTTCGATGAAGCCACTGGTACATACGTTCTCGAGACGGTCTTCCTATCCCTCTTGAACAGTATCCAATTTATTGGCTTTGTGTTTGGTCTCGTTCTTGGTAACCTCTTCAGCCGTCGCTTTGGCCGCCGTCTGGCAATGTTTCTCATGTGTTTCTGGGCTTTGATATCCGGAGTCATCTTGATTACGTCGAAGACCCCAACTCAGGCAATCACTGGTCGTACTATTACATATGTCTACATCGGAATGGAGCTCGCCTTAGTCCCTGTTTTACAGTCAGAGCTTGTTCCTGCAGAGGCTCGCGGCTTTGTCGTTGGTACTTATCAGTCTGGTCTTTTGGTTCGTCTGAGACCCCTCTGCCTTCCTGGTGTTTTATTTCTCTAATGGCTAGTCTAGTTTGGTAGCCTTATCATGTCTATTATCTGCCGAGGTACCAGCGACATCAAGGGGCATGCTTCCTGGAGGATCCCCTATGGTCTTTTCTTCGTGATTCCTTCTATCCTCGCAGTAGCTGTGTGGTGGATCCCTGAGGTATGAGGACTACAATGATGGCTACCGAATTTCTCTAATTCTTCCAGTCTCCCCGTTGGCTATTGACCCGAGATCGCCAGGATGACGCTCTCAAGTCCCTCCGACTACTTCGACAAGGGGCATACACCGACGACGAGATCGAGCACGAATTTCGAGAGATGCAGAATGCCCTCAACAACACTGTTAAAAAAGGCAGTTTTATGGACATGTGGCGAGGGAGTAAGCTAACGCCAACTACCGATATCAGGGATATGACATTTACTGACGACCTCAGCGAATCTCAAACGAACTTTAATCACAATCGGCGTCAACATCTTTCTTCAACTCACGGGTCAGAACTTTGCTTCCAAATATGGCACAATTTTTATCCAGAGTCTGAATTCGGTTAACCCTTTTGTTATGTCGTGCATCAACTCTGCGCTTAACATTGTTGCCGTCTTCTTGACACAGTTCTTGTCTGATAAGACAGGACGAGTGTTAGTATTGCCTGAGTACTCACATGTAACAGCACCAGCTGACGTGATTCGACAGTCCCTTGATGACAGCCGGAGCAGTCCTTCAGACAGCCAGTCTTATGACCATGGGTGGGCTCGGAACCGTCAAGAACCCCTCGCAGAGCATTCGGTCTGCCATCGTTGCGACCGTCACCCTCTTCGGCATCGGGTTTTCCCTAGGATGGGCACCTCTCTCACACGTTGTAGCCGCAGAGATCCCTACGACCGGTCTACGCGATCTCACATATGCTGTGGGTGCGGTCTTCAACATTGTCATTCAATGGGCTGTTGCTTTCAGTATTCCCTACCTCATTGACCAATCACATGCTGGCCTTGGGTCTAAAGTCGGCTTCATATTCGGAGTGACTTCGTTCCTGGCGACATTATTCTCGTGGTTCTGCATCCCTGAGTGTGGAGGTAAGACATTGGAAGAAATCGATGAGCTGTTCGCTCAAGGAGTTCCTATTCGCAAGTTCCGCACAATCAAAGTTTCGTTGGATGCAGAAGCTTCGGATGGTGGTGATGATCTCACGAAACCTGGCAAGGGCAATGTGTCACAGACAACACATACTCTTTAGGCGTTGGCGAAGGCTACATAAAGTCACAGATATTCTTAACAACGGGCACAGTCAGGGGTATGGCTGGTGGATGCATCGAGAGCAAGTTTCTACGAGAGCCATATTAACAAGTCGACTCAAATCAATAATGTTAATTTTCTTGATTATAAACAGCATAGGGGGGGAACCACTTACTCCAAAACATGGAGCAGTCATCCTCGTTTTTGGACCAATCTTATGCGCCGTGAAAAGGCTAACCACCTACCTTAGTGAACATAGAATGGAATCCTGCTGGTGTCTCACAGGAACCCGAGATAAGGGCATCTGGATACTACGGTGGCTGGTTGGCTTAGGCAGATGCCGATATTACACTCATCAAGCAAGCCGCTGCTGGGTTTCGAGATGCCGCCACGCTGCCTATTCAGGGAGGTGTTGGTGAGCTTATTGACCAATGTTTTATGTCTCAAACTTAATCCTATACATAAATAGACGATCCTATCACACAGCTGAAGACAAAGATAACGTTAACGGCGTAGACGGGTAGCGAAATTGTAGGTCCATTCCCCAATCCCAATAGCCATGGGTACCAAGGATTCATTCAGATCGTACAATAACAATCTGGAACACAAAGTGTTATATGTCTAATAGAACGGATATCCATGCCATCCTTCTGTGGTCGGAATCCTCAGAGCTGAAAAGAGCCCATCTGGTCTCCATAGTGATTGAGATTCAGGCCATTGGTAGCGATGCAGATGATCAAGACGAGCAATGTGATTGGCTATTTGAACCTGGATGTCTTGTTCCCCGCGAGACTTTTCCCCACTTGCTAGCACCTTGAGTTGGGTCATTGTGATAACTCACTAATCAGCTCCTAACAAGTCGTTTGTTTACATTACATGGGTACATATTTAAGAATATGTATGCCTTTCCAAGAGAGGCAGCAGTGTCAAATGGGATATAAAGCCATATACTAACTCAACAAGTAGGTAAAAGGAAACCAACCGGGATTGAGCCTTTGTTTTACATGAGCCTCTGTGCTGCCAACAGTGGCGGGCGGTTTCCGGATGTTTCCACATACATTATATCTATCCAATGTCGACGTGAACATTGATACATGCAAGGTAACAGACCCAAGGAGGCATTTAACTTTTGTTTCTGGTCCTTTTGATGACCGGTTGTTTTGGGTGTTCTGAACTCATCCCCTCTAAGGGCTGATGAGCTTTGGCCCCCATTTCGTTTGGTGTTACTTCGCCCGTCTCAGTTGTCATCAACACCTGATAGACCGTCCATAGAACCCCAGTAGAGTCCCTGGTACACGATGCAGCCGCTCTGACAACCACTTTAACTACGCTGACGACAGGCCTAAAGAATACTCGGTAATAGGCACCATGATACTCGGTAGAGTCGACTGATTCCTTGGTCTAGCGCTTGGCTTTGGCGCAACTGTCTTGGACCTCCACCACTGATAACCCACTGCTACAGCACAGCTTGGAACAAGATCTTGCCCTGACTGAGGTGCGTTGTCCCCTCGTGACATGCATCCATCTATGAATTGGATGTTGTTCCTCATTGGATCCATATGATCCATTTGATCCATCCCCCATGTGTGTGATCGCCCGCGCGTCCGCCGCAACTTAACCTCTACTGGGTAAAACTATCCAATGCGTCCGCCTACAGCGCCTTGCATATTTTAGTTAGTCGACTGAGGTTGGCGACACGCCTAAAGGTACGCCAAAACGCCCTGTGCCTCGTGCCTTGTTCCTCATGGTCGTGAGTGTAAGAAAGCGACAGTCGCGGTGACATTGGCAGTGACAGTGACAGTAAAGTGATGCGAGGCCTGTTTCTTGTAGGTATCGCCGGAATAAACCTCAATCGTGCCGTTTGGCTCCTCTTTTCCAACCATTCACTTCCCCTTCGTTTCCTCTTCTCTTTTTTTCGTTTCCCCCTTCTTCCCTTTTTATTTCTCAGATCCAATCAATCAGCAACGCTAAACTTCGACTCCCGATCTTTGTTGTTCTCCGTAGCTCCTAGTTATCTACCGTACAGCTTGCCTTGGCGTCTAATCAAAGGCTTTCAAAGGTCCACACCAGCTCCAGCCTGGAGCTCTACTCTCCACCATCAAACTCGCCCGTTGTTACTCTACTTTTGGCACTACCGTGCCAATTCACATCACTGCCGATAACCTCGAACAATTATCCAGAGTCCACTTTCGCCTTCTTTTCTTCTTTGCATATCCACTCTAGGTTCGCGTCATCTTATCATCTTCGACCGTTGATCTCGTTCGTATTCGATCGTGGGAGCCACAGAGCTCTTCAGTCTCTTCTCCCACAGCCTCAAAGGGGCGTCTCCCTACCTCACTTATGCAGCTTCTACCCTCGTTTGATCACCTAAACATATCAACACGATGAAAGCTGCTCCTCTAATCATCAATTGGCATGACCAGAATGCCCCCGTTTACTCCGCCCACTTCGAGCCGTCTGGAAAGGGACGTTTAGCCACGGCTGGTGGTGATAATCATATCAGAATATGGAGGGTTCAGGTTGATGGGGAGGACCGTAAGGTCGAGTACCTTTCAACCCTATCAAAGCACAACCAAGCCGTTAATGTTGTTCGTTGGGCGCCCAAGGGTAAGGCTCTCCCATCCGCTTTCAGAATTTACTCTGCTCACAGCTTCATTTTCAGGCGAGCTTCTAGCCTCTGCGGGCGACGATGGCAATGTGATCCTCTGGGTACCAAGCGAAACACCCCAAACAGCATTCGGATCCGATGCCCCGGAAGATAAAGAGTCATGGAGGGCAAAGCATATGTGTCGATCTAGTGGCGCGGAGATCTATGACTTAGCCTGGTCTCCTGACGGAGTGTACTTCATCATCGGCAGCATGGATAATATAGCACGAATCTACAACGCTCAGACAGGTCAGCAGACGACTGTCAACGACCCGATAACCGTCAGCTTCTAACACAGGAAACAGGAACACTCGTGCGCCAGATCGCCGAGCACAGCCATTATGTGCAGGGCGTCACATGGGATCCCCTCAACGAGTACATCGCGACGCAGTCCTCCGATCGATCAGTTCATATTTACTCTCTAAAAACCAAGGATGGGCAATACACCCTCAGCCAAGACGACAAGACTCCTCGACTTGCCAGCCATATCAAGGCCGATCTTCCTCCTCGGCGAATCTCCTCGAGCAGTCCTGCTCCTCCCGACTTTGGCCATCGCTCTTCGCTTGCTGTTCTCGATTCTGCGCCTTCTATCGGATCACCTGTGCCTTCTGCACCCGGCACGCCTACTTCTTTCGCGCTTCCCATGAACCCTCCCAGCGTCGTTAGCCATAGCCGTCGATCTTCGTTCTCTTCTCGGCGATCTGTATCGCCAGCGCCATCTATGCCTTTGCCGGCCGTCATGCCTATGGACCCCTCTCCGAAACCATCGTCAACGTTGAGCAGCGGGTTGGGAATGAAGAATGCGAACCTCTATGCCAATGAGACGCTCACGTCCTTTTTCCGACGACTCACATTTACACCAGATGGCAGCTTGCTATTAACTCCATCGGGACAGTACCAAAACCAACACCAGGCTGAAAGAGACGCGAAACCTACTTATGAAGTGATTAACACGGTCTATATTTACACGCGTGGTGGTATTAACAAACCCCCAATTGCCCATTTGCCGGGCCACAAGAAGCCCTCGGTCGTGGTAAAATGTTCTCCTATATTCTACACACTGCGACAGTCTCCTCCTGTCACGCGCAATATAACCATTGACACATCATCTTCAGAGGAGCCTATTCCATCCCTTCCAGAACCTCTTTCGAAGCCATCCCCAGCTCCTTCTGTCATGGATCCACCTCCTCCACCCTCAACCACATCAGACGCAAAGACATCGGGTTCAGATACGGCTTCGGCTACACCAGGCCCAAAGCCTGCCTTTTCCCTGCCTTATCGCATGGTCTACGCAGTGGCTACACAAGACTCGGTCCTACTTTACGATACTCAGCAAAAGACCCCTATCTGTGTTGTCAGCAATCTTCATTGCGCTACCTTTACTGACCTTGCATGGTATGCTGGAGTTCCTATCACCAATCAACTGTGTAGATTGACTAACAAAACTACTAGGTCAAGCGATGGTCTGACTTTAATGATCTCGTCTTCTGATGGATTCTGCTCAACACTATCCTTTGCACCTGGAGAACTGGGTGAAGTCTACAAGGGTGAAGTCGGTCCGCCCAAGTCGCAAACAGGGACCTCGTCTAATCAAAGCACTCCCATGCCTACCCCAACGACCGCGTTTGCTCCGCCTTCACCCTTTCCTAACGGCTCGCATCACCACCATCGCAACTCGGCGAGCTCTTTCACTGCCCCTTCGCCCCCCCCGTCTGCTTCACTTATTTCTCAACGTCCCTCATCTCCTGCGAGATCGAATTCAACGTCTTCAATTGCGACTATCACTACACAGGCCAGCACTGTGCCCGCAGCTGGTGTAGTTACCAATCCACCTCTGATTTCTGGCAATGTTCCAGGCATTGCAGCAGCAAATTCTGGCAAGGTGACTGGTGTTCCGCTCACAACACCTCCTGAGACTCCTCGAAGTACCACAGGCAGTGCGGGCACTAAGCGCGATGCCAGTGAAGGCGAAAAGGAAGACGGCAAGGAGCCCAAGAAGAGGCGAATTGCTCCGACTCTGGTGGAGCCCAAAAGTTAGGCTTCAAGACGTGCTGAAAGGGGGTATAATACTGCTATTTCAAAAGTATGTTTTTTCTTTGTTTCTGCAGTGACAGGGTTGGGTGTGATTCGGTCTTCACAGACATGTGGATCCGCGATTTAGCAAGCATGGGATGGCGTTTGATGAGTCTGGTTGAGACGGATTGATTTACATGGGATTATGGCGAGGTGGTCGTCCTGGCCAGTCTACGGGATATGATCTCCGCCAGGTATCAAGGTAGACGAGCTATACAGCCATGCACTCGGATGGGAAAATGGGAACGTGGCACAAGCCTAGGTATTATGTAGTCTACACAATAAATTTTGATAGTCTGTTCAGACACTGCGCATGTCTTTTTTTTTTTTTTTTTTTTTTTTTTTCCCGGGGAGTATCATTTCAGCACTGGCTTCCAACCTTGACGTTGAATAAATTTATCCACGCCCTCGTCTTGGAGAATATCAGCTCCTAGCCGTCCTGTTAATACACTACGCTCATGATCTGGCCCCCGGACGTGGAATGGGTATGGCAAGCGTCCATTGTCGCTCTGTTTGTTTTTGGTCTCCGTACCGTCTTCCAGTTCCCAAACTGAACGGTTCTTGGTTCTTTGTTCCACAAACCCACAAGCCGGGCGATCAAGTGAAAGATACCATCGTCGTTGATGTACACTACCGATGGTGTTGGAAGCCCCTGGATATGCATTTGTTCTTCGGACCTCTTCATCTTCAAGCTCACGTATCTCACGTTCCATGGCGGAAAGATTGTCTGCGTTGGTTCCCGCATCAGTGTTTGAAGGGACATCCTCACTTTCATCACTCTCACTATCATCACCACTCGTCTCAGGTTGCGTCTCCGTCTGGGCATGACGACGTCGTCGTTTCCGAGATGTTCTTCCGCTCCTTGCTCTGCCGGCCACATCTTCTGACCTGGTTAAACGAAGGTTCAGGACATATGGATCAGGTAAGCGCGATCCGTGCAGTCGAATGCGGATCTTGCGGTTCTGAAAAGCGGCGTGCAGAAGAGCTTGCTGTGTTGGCGCGAAAGATGGACCTGGTGAGGACGTTGGAGAGGACGGATCAGTCGCTGGGGCATGCTTGCTTTGACGGGGGAGGATGCTATATGTTCCCGTATCCCAAATGAGAAGTGAGCCAGTCGAGGTTGAGGCAGTCTCTATGAGGTGATTCTGTTTAAATATTAATTCTTTTCTCCTGTAAAGAGAAAGACTCCGTACCCATAGACAATGAATTCGCGTCTCTGTCGCGTTTCGATTCAACCGTATGCTCTGAGGGTCGCCCGGGGGTCCGTACATGATCGCCCAGCTGGCGCTGCTGGTCTCATTGATCTGAAGACGGAGGTCATAGTGCGTGCCAGCAATTGGGTGGTCATGTTGATGAATGACGAAATGAGCACCTGCAGAGCTTCCAAAGTTTTCGGTGTATAGTGAGCTATACGATGATATTGATAGTGGCGATTGGCTTAATATATGGCTAGAGAGGTGCGCTTTGAAATGCGAGAGATGGTCCTCTACAGTGGCTGATCCAGATTCTATGTCAGCAGTTGTTGGTGGCTGTGAGGGCGATGGTGAGTCGAGAGTCCATTCGAGATTTCTTTTTTTGATGAATGGATTAGAGATGAAGCCAGGACTTGGTGGTCGCTTTTCAACCATGGTGTGTGTTGTGTTGTTGTTGTTGTTGTTATAGTTGAGTTTCTATTGAATCATGATTGGCCCTCGATAGCTCTTCTTTAGGTAGTTCAACAAGCTGGTTTGGGTAATTGTTTTCATTATGTTTCAGAACTCGGTTTGAAATCTAGAACAGGCTTTCCTGGATTTTCTGTTTATTTTTCATAGATGTACATATACATATATAATCCTCTCGTCATACAATCTTCCATGAAGTAGCCCGAATGTGACGATATATAATGTACCTATGGTAGGATCAAGGCATTCACCATAGGAGCAACTCGCTCTTCAAGGCTAGAAGCACTAGAACACCGAAAAGTATTACAAGCGAGTAAGACAGACAGTAAAGGTATATGTGTACTATGTATGTCTTTACACACTCATCATGGCTTGATTTGGCAGTTTGTTCATTCATTCTGTTCTTATTATATGTCATAGGGTAAGCTGGCAGGATGGCGGCTGAGATTGACGTAAGGTTAAATTACTAGTCCTTGGAAGCAAGTCGCCTGTAAAGCCGATTGTCTGTGGCGAAACCGGAAAGCATCAGCGTCACATGGAAACTTACCTATGGCCGGCTACAACGACCAACGGAAAACGGGTTGATTATAGTGACATAGGCGATAAAAGGAGCATCAATTGATGACTCAACTAGCATTCACGAGCTATTGTATCTGAAGGAATGCTATACTCGTAGACTCATCAACGAAATGCCCAAGTATAGGTACCAAGTATCAGACCATCAAACATCATCAAAATCTCAAAAGGCAAACACCCCTCTTCACGAGTCGTATTGCCTCAAAAAGGCAAGAACGATGAGAGTCGGCGGGGCCTAGTCAGCCGAGGTCTGGCCTCTTGTTCGGTCCCATTCGCCCCCGGATTTTTCTTCCCTTTTAAACTTGAATGCGCCTCTCAAGTCTAGCCTAGGTTAAGTGAGGCCCCACTAATTTTTATCTCTAATCAACTCCATCTTTCTCGGCTTTTCCTCTGCGACAATCTCGTCTCCCTCCTCCTTCTCATCACCTCCACGCCCGCGCCTGTCACCATCGCAATTTTTGCGCGTCTCTAATTCTCGAGAGATAGCGACCCTCTCAATCTTATCATATCTCTGTCTCGGCCGCTCTTTTCCCCGTATCCCGAGGCAACTCCGTTGTCCCCGCGCGCCGCGGTTACGCTAACTGGGGGCTGCATATAATCACGGAGTCAGTCTCCGATCTTGCGTCCGGTACACTTTCCGAGGTCCACCACCAAACGTCACGAGGAGTGGCCAACGACCAAGACAAGTCTGCTTTACTAGGAGGCTCAATAATTAGACGACTCGAATTCTGACACTGTGATACCGTTTGTCGGTAGTCCATTCTCCGAACCCGGCTTCTGAACCCTTCCTCCTTGCGATAACAAGACAATATCATGGCCTCTCCACCCAAGCCCTGGGAGCAGCCTGGCGCGGCTGCGACTGCTGGTAAGTCGCATTCATCAATTCTTCTCTCTTACTATCTCCTTTTCCATGTCTTCTGCCAATCACCTTCTCCTGACTCCCCGCGTTAAAGCGCCTTCCTGCTCACTATACTCTAGCGACATCGCCTATCTCGCCGTCAGTTGCGTCCGGAACTACAACATCGATCACCGATTCGTCTTCTGCCCCTCCGCTTCCTAATCGACCTTCTTCTCTCACATCAACCGTCAACCAGAACGCTGCCAATTACAGCAGGATGAATTCCTCACCGTATAGCTCAATGGGTGGCGCGTACTCGTCACCCTATTCTAGCCCCTACTCGCGGTTTGGCATGGGTGGTATGGGCGGCATGAGTGGCTACGGTAGCATGTACGGTGGAGGATACGGTGGCTACGGAGGAGGCATGTATGGTGGCATGGGCGGCGGTATGTACGGCGGTGGCATGGGAATGCCTGGCGACCAAAACAGCTTGACCAACACCTTCAACAACAGCACTCAGGCTACCTTCCAAATGCTCGAGGGTATTGTCACGGCCTTTGGAGGCTTCGCCCAGATGCTTGAGAGTACCTACATGGCTACTCACTCCAGCTTCTTTGGTAAGTTCTTTAGTGTGATGGTTCAGGCTGGAGAGTCAACTAACAGTTCTTAGCCATGGTCTCTGTCGCTGAACAATTTGGTAATCTGAGGGATACTCTGGGCTCCGTGCTGGGCATCTTCACATTGATGCGCTGGATTCGCACATTGATTGCCAAGCTTACTGGTCGACCGCCGCCTGCCGATGCGACTGCCCTCACACCAGCTGCATTTGCACGCTTCGAAGGTCGGAGCGTTGGACCAGATGGTAACCCACTTCCTGCGAAGGCTAGCAAGAAGCCTTTACTGTTCTTTGTCCTGGCCGCCTTTGGCATTCCTTATCTAATGTCAAAGATGATAAGGACGCTTGCTGCCTCACAAGAGCAGGAGCAGAAGCGTCTTCAGGCCCAGGCCATGGAATCACAGCAGCCGGTCGACCCTGCTAAGCTTGAGTTTTGCCGACTCACCTTCGACTTCCTCCCTCAGCCTAACACAGGCATGGAGCTCGAGGCGAGAAAGGGTGACCTTGTTGCCGTCCTAAGTAAAAACGATCCCTCAGGTAATCCCAGCGAGTGGTGGCAGTGCCGATCCCGCGACGGCCGCCAAGGCTATCTTCCATCTACCTACCTCGAAGTCATCAAGCGCCCGGCACAAGAGCCCAAGAAGATCAAGGCTGCGCCTAGCGAGAGCAGCCGTACAAACTCCCTAACCAGCTCAATTGCCCGCCCCGAGGATGGGAAGAACGAGTACGCTTCTGCTGACGGCATGCAGAGGAGCCACTTCTACTCCTAGAATGCTGTCAGCCACATTGGAAGCGTCGATAATCACATATAAAGACGACAGCTGTACGATTCTGTCTCGGATATTGCAAGGGTGCATTGGTGATTGGATTACAAAAGTCATCACGGAGTTGTTTGGTGGGTTTCACACACATATTAGTTCCTAGCGTTCGAATGGTTTCGTCATGTCTTGCGATACCTGGGGAAGCATAACTCCCACAAAGATACATCTATATATTTTCACTTGTTAAGTCATTGAATGAAACTTGAATGGCGTTTCTTTATTATGAGTCTGTTCGGTGTCAATGCTCGTGCGTCGATTTTGGTCAAGCATATGCAAATCCTAGAGGGCTCAGCATAAATTCATGAACCGCGTAGGTAGAACTTCGAAACAACAATAGCAGCAAAATTTGAATATAAGTCGGGGTTCCGTATCCGGGAGTGCTAAACCTCTGGACGACTGGGAGACCATTGTTAATTTTGACATTAACAGTTCTCATAACAGTTTGCACCGAGTCGAAATACACTTGGAGTTGTTCTCTGTACATTTATCTGATCGATACTAGACCAGACTTTTCCGTTATGACACAAGTTTCGGGTTTACATCCCCGTTTTCCCCTGCAAATAGGACCTCCTTCTTGGGCCCGTCATAAAGACATCAGTCATCCATGCCCTGTGGTTATCTTCGCCTAGGTGCCTAGATAGCAAATATGCGTACCAAAAATCGACCTTTTTCGCCTCAAACAATTCTTTACAAGGCCCCCTCTGCGCCGCTCGCCTGTTCAATGCTCTATTGTTTAATCGTTGTTTAACCCTCAGCCTCGTACGCGTTGGACTTGTGCTTGGGCTGGAACTTGAACGTTGGGTGGACGGGGCCAAGGAACATCTCGCTGTAAGTGGCCAGTTAGCATACCGACCCAAGAAAGCAAACCCGTTGTGTATTGCGCCACAAAAGTATAAGCATACCTGATTTTGATCCAGTCCCTGAAGTTGTTGGACGCCATAAGCGTTTCCATCTCATCTCTCCCCTCGTACTTAGGAGGTCGGTCATTGAGGCAAGGTGGGAGATACTCTAACAAACCAATAGGGACGTAGCGGTGCGTAAAACTGAGCCACTCGAGAAGGAAACGGCGAGTGAATCCAATGCCGAGCTCATCAGAACCCCAGGCGTCAAGGCCATAGCGCACAAACTTCTCGATGTAGCGGAGACGCTCGCTAGATGACTTGTCGAGGTACTGGCCCTTCTCAATCTCCTCAAAGAGCCAAGGCTTGATGAGGGCACCACGGCCAATCATGACAGTATCGACACGAGCCTTTTCAATGTGCTCATAGTACTCGGTGTGCGAGTAGCAGTCACCGTTGCCGAGGAAGTACATGCGGCCATCCTTGGCGTTAGGGAGGCTGCTGGCATCGGGCTCAGCGATGGTGTCAGTCAGAGTGTCCTTCTGCTTGTTGTAAGTCTTGATGAGCGCGGCGCACTCGCTGATGTAGCCCCAGTCGGCCTTCTTGGTGTATCGCTGCTCACGGCTGCGTCCATGAAGAGTCAGGGCCGCACATCCAGGAGCACCAAGTCGTTCTCGGTGCTCTCGTGCACCAAAAGCCAGTTTTCCAATAAGCTGAGTGGCCGTAGGACGGGAGTTTCGGATCCCAGTGCGGATCTTGGCAGTGATAGGGACCTCCCCTGACACAGCGTTCATGCCTCGAATCATACGTTCCAACTTGCCTGAGTTTTCGAGAAGCGCAGATCCACCGCCAGACTTGAAGACCATATCAATCGGACAACCGCAGTTCAAATCGATGAGGCGAAGGTGAGGGCAATAACGATTCAGGACGTCAGCAGCCTTGGTAACAACCCAGTGGTTGTTTCCGGAGATCTGGGCACCAAACTTGATATCCTTGGAGTGGTCGTAGTCATCAAAGATGGGGACAGAGCCTGGGTTAAATTGGGGGGGTGAAAGCTCTGACTCATGAACCTTTAGAAGTGTCCAGTCAGCCTTCGTTCCCTGGATGAGAGGCATACTCAATGCCATCTCCGAGTATGTGAGCTGGGCTCCAAGCTCGACGCAGAGTCGACGGAAGGGCAAGTTTCCTTGGGTGGTGAGAGGTGCCAGGGTTGGGGTCTCTTGGCCGAAATAGAGTCGGCGCTTCTCAGAAGGCTTAAAAGGGGGGTCGACGAAGCGGGCGCGTAGATCTTCGATACCCTCGGTGGACTGATTCTTGCGACGATTCATAAACTCCTCACTCAGCTTAGCTTCCTTATTGAGCCAAGTGATGTACTGGTCAGATCGCGTAAAGTCAGTCCGCTTGCGGTTGAGGTCAATCTTCTTATCCATGCTGACGACGTTGAAAATAGCAGGTCGCTGCTCCTCGGATCCTTCATCTTTAGGCTCACCGTTCTCGCCGCCATTTGCTGAAGTGCTTATGAGCACCAACTCTTTTCGGCCGTCCTCGTGCTCGATTTCCTCCATGTGGCTCTTAACAAAGCGGCACTTCCAGCCTGAAGGACAGTGGCCATGAGCCTCGAACACGGGGCATTTGCCTTCGAAAGTCTCAACATCACCTCGGCGTCCTTCCTCAAGATACTTTCGAATATCATGGCAGAGTCTGCATCGGTCACCAAACTTGCATTCTCTGGGAGAAAACTCGGGATAGAAGGCTCGACTGTTGCAAAGACGAAAGGCATCGTCAAATTTGCCAAAATCGCGCTCTGTGTTCTGGCCCTTCTTCTTCTTTTCTTTCTTGCCCTTGCCTGGCTTTCGATCGCCATTCTCAGCATTCCCTTCGGCAGTACCGCGTGCCTCAGCTGCGTCATCGTCGTTCACAGCATCGTTGGACGCATCTTTCTGAGTTGACATGTCTACAAGATACCTTTGATTTGTCAGTGTGTCTCTAGAACGGATCTACGGTGGGCTTCTCACTCTTTCTTGATAGGAGCAACTCCTTTGCTGCGTCCATCAACGTACTCAGTCTTGGGGTCCGGCTTTGGCCTCGGGACCTCATTCTCCTTATCGCCATTTGTGGATTGTTCATTCTCCTTAGGAGCGGGTGCATCGTGCAAATACTCTCCTGGAGCAGACTGAGACGGGATCGAATCGTTAACCTTAAGTCTCTTCGAAGCCCGCTCTTCATCCTTTGTCGAGGTTGTAACATTGCTGGCACCAGCTGCAAGTTCTGCATGCGCATTGCCTGGGGAGACGCCACCCATCTGAGCGTCGTGTTGCTCACTCATGGCAAAAACGGCTGATAATGGTCAGTCTCTGGGACAATGCATGTGTTGAAAGAAAATTATGAGTTCATAAATTCGCTATGAAGAATAAGTAAAAGATTTATGAGGGGAGTGAGTGAGTGTAAGAGAGAGAGGAAAAGAGAGAAAGAAGTGCAAATGTTTTTCTCGCTGTTACAGTACGTGAGGAAAATTAGCTTACCTCTTGCACTACTATACACAAATTAATGAGTGATTGTTTTTTGACAGTGCTCGTTCAGTGCCAGCTGATGAAAAGATCAGTCGTCAAAACCGAGATCGACTTTCAAGTGCATAGGGAAAAAAACCTCGATATGATGGTGTAAACTAAAACTGCACTAAATTCCCTAAGGTCTACTCCGTATTTCTAGGTCTTATGTGCTATGAGGTCAGTGAGAGGTCGAATGTATCAGGTACGTTAGACGCCTGAGAGCCTCATCTCCGCACTTGGTCACAGGGGCCGGGCCTCGCTAAAAGCGTTCCAGAATCAACGACAACAAAGCTAGGAGGTACTCAGGTACTTCGACTCGAGACGATACTCGACTCAACCCCAGCTCCAACGTTGCACGATCCCTACCCTTCGACATCATTTACATACTATCACCATCACCGGCTCGCCTGCCCCTCCCTTCTCTTTGCGCCCTTGGCAAATCGCCAATTGGCTTTGGCTTCAGCTGCCTGTTTTTAATTGCATATTGTTCGTTCCTTTTTGCCCCCTTCACTGCTCTCACTCATTCCACCTTTCCCCCACCTCGACCGGTTCAAGTCACAAGCTCAACGCCTTGTCTAGGTAGGCAATGAAGAAGAACCTACGCAGTCATGGCGGATCCGAGGAGGTCCCCCGATAAGTCGCATCTCAAGGCAAAGAGCATTCAACAACAGCAACAACAACAACAACAACAACAACAACAACAACAACAACAACGATCGCCTGCTCCGGCCCCCACAGCCACACGGCCGACCTTTGTCGACGACGATTCCGACGATGATGACGAGTCTAGCGATCAGATGCCCTTACCCAGAAGCCATACACCAGGTCATCTTGCCAGCAAAAGCATACAAGCAAATCGTCGAAAGCCTTCCGATCTTTCTATCCGGCAGCGCTCTCAATCCGCATCACAGACCGCCCCGCAAGGAGCTTCTACCTCGAGAGCAGCCCACAAACCGCCGCATTCAATCTCAACCAGCGCTGGCGATGCCTCAAGTGAGGGAGATCGACATAATCGGCGACCAACCGCTTCACGGTCGACATCTGCCATAACGAGCCGAACGACTGCACAAGCGACCGCTCGGTATGCATCGCATAGATCTCGCATATCACAAGACGAGTACACAGCGTTCCCGTCGCTTCCAGATCCCCGGACCGCTCCAAACGTCGACGTGGCTCCAGCATCTGGCATGTACTGGTCCAAGGCACCTGTGTCGGGCGCTCCTCACACCTCATTACGAGCACACACAACAACAATCATTGGCTCGAACGTTTATGTATTCGGCGGCTGTGACTCAAGAACATGCTTCAACGATCTCTACGTGCTGGATGCCGATTCTTTCCACTGGTCTATACCTTATGTCGTTGGTGATATACCTGTTCCTCTGAGAGCCATGACATGTACTGCCGTAGGCAAGAAACTCATCGTGTTTGGCGGAGGTGACGGCCCGGAGTATTATAACGATGTCTATGTTTTGGATACGACAAACTTCCGGTGGACAAAGCCCCGTATTATAGGAGATAAGATGCCGTCGAAGCGGAGAGCGCATACTGCTTGTCTGTACAAGAATGGTATATACGTATTCGGCGGCGGCGATGGGGTCCGAGCTCTGAATGATATCTGGCGGTTAGATGTTGCTGATGTCAACAAAATGTCATGGCGGTTAGTGTCAAGTTCAGATAAGTCAAGCCCTGGGTCAAAAGACTATCGTCCCAAGGCAAGGGGCTACCACACTGCCAACATGGTGGGCAGCAAACTCATCATTTTTGGAGGCTCTGATGGCGGCGAATGTTTCGACGATGTATGGGTTTACGACGTTGACGCCCAGTTATGGAGAGCAGTCCCTATCCCCGTTGCTTTCCGCCGTTTATCACATACGGCCACAATAGTCGGCTCCTATCTTTTTGTCATTGGAGGCCACGACGGAAGCGAATACTCGAATGATGTCCTGCTTTTGAACCTGGTTACAATGACATGGGATAGACGCCGGGTCTACGGTAAAGCACCTTCAGGCCGTGGCTATCACGGGACAGTGCTGTATGATAGCCGCCTCATTGTCATTGGAGGTTTCGATGGAAGCGAGGTGTATGGCGATGTTATGCTGTTAGAGCTAGCTGTGCATGCATATTATTCGCAAATCAGCCATTTTACTATCGAGGTTTAGAGATATGAGCTAATGCAGTTCCTTTGGATATATTAGTGTGCTTGATAATCAGTTTGTTGTTCTGGGAAGGTAACTGGACCCTTCAAAAGAGGGCTAGCAGGGAGTCGGTGGTGCAGATCTTTGTTAACTTAGTCTAGAAGAATGAGATGCTGGGTCATCTTCATATGTCCTTGTATATACGCTTGAGATAAAGATGCTTGCTCAATTCTTGCTGTCATGGCTACATATGATACATTGGATGCAATTCAAACCCCAACCAAGAACGTTCCGGGCCAATTTTAAGAGGTTGTAACTCCAAGGAACCATCCCACCCGCTCTATGCGCATAGAAAAGACAAAACAGAGGGCAGTTTTGTTTCAATGACTATCCCAATCGATAATAGCCGCTTCCTTTCCATCCCAGCTCATCGACTCATGAAATTTCGGTTTGTTGGTATATACAATTTCCGATTTCCTCCTGTGGTTGTCGACTTGTGCTCGGCGTAGTATTAATGATGAGTTTTAGGGTAATGTGTATCGAGGAATGGTTTTCATTGAGTTGTTTTTGTCGTTATAAGAAGATAACATGTTTATTTTAAGCCTTGTTCTCAGCTTGCTTCTTAGCGGCCAAGCGTCGCTCCTCAGCAGCGACCATATCTATCAACCCAGTTAGTCACATAATGTTTTCTGCAAGATCTCAAGTGCGACTTACCCTTCCAGAGGTCTTGGCCCTCATACTCCTCCTTATGGATCTTCTTCTCAATAAGTCGCTTGTGTTCGGGGTCCTCGGGATCGACGACCATTACGGTCTGCCAGCGACCCTCACCCTTCTTAGCGTCGTTCATCTCAAAGACAGCTGAGATGATGAGAACAGCGAGGGTCAGACCCTGAGCATAGACACGGGCCTGTACGACCTTGTTGGCTGTATTCATGGGTGAACGGCTCACGAGCGCGAATGCGACACCCATGGATGCGAGCCATGAGACAAATACGATAGAGTAGCGGTTCTCCTTGCCGTACTCCATAAAGCGCTCCCAGGTCGTCTGATTCTCGCGAACAATCTGCTGGGCGCGCTGGGTCTGGTCTTCGTAAAAGTTCATGGGATTCTGCTTCTTCTGAAAATCCATGGACCAGCGATCGGCGTTGATAATGGCGCCAAATGTGCCGGCGGATGTGACGAGAAACGTTCTGAAGGGGATTGTGAGGCCGCGGAAAGCAGGGTATCGCCTTGAAGCAAACATGACACCTCCAACACCAACAGCGAGACCGAGACTACCTCCGATGAGACCGCCCTTGACGACAGCTGAGTAGTGCGCCTCCTCTTCTTCCTTTGTAAGAATCTTCATGATTGCGATTTGGGTTGGACTGGAATTGAGGGGAAAGACGGTCGTGGGAGAGGCGGCAAATTTGTAGAGATGGGATTTCTCTCAGGGCGCAATAGTTTACGGTGTTTTGTTTTCAGGGCGAAGGTGGTATGATAAGAAACCGAACGAGGTGGGTTGCAGCGTGGTTTAAATCCAGGGTGGGTCAACTGAGAGGATGCTGAGTTTCAGTACTTGGAAGATGTCGTAAACGTGAGGTGAGGTTGATGTACTAGTGTCGTGATAAATTCGTGAAGTTTGCGATATGCGAGTAAATGGTGTTTTCTGTAATTGATGAGTATCTCAGATCCCCTCTTACTTATCCTGACGTATATAAATGGCAAACAAATTTTCATGGCCGAGTGTACCGTTTTCTTGCATGACGGTAGATGATGTCAGTTTCTTCCGAACTCGTCCGGCGCAGACAGTCACCGAACTATGCCCGAGTCGCCGAATGGGCTTCAAATTCAAACGAAACTGTCTGTAAAGTAGATAACTCCGAGGATATGCTACAATGAGAGATGTTTCTGGGACAATCTTTGTCAATATTCGAGTGAATTGAGCATCTGATTGCTAATATTACAGAGCTGAGTATCGGCTGCCCCGGAAGCAAAACCCCAATCTCTTGTTGTAATGCAATACGTGCCATCATCAAAGTGTCTTTCGAGCAGAGCTACGATAGATGGCAAACCAGGCGGACAAACAATCACTCGCTCTCCATCTCCAGCGATTTATGCCCCTATATCACCCGCGAGAGTCCTGAAAGGGCATGGCAGCACATAGTATCTTAAATATAAAGTAAAGCTCAATTATGCCGCAGAATGCCGTGACAAGCTTCCAAAAGCAGCGGCAATGATGGCGGCGTTCTGCGGTCAAAGCGGCATAACAATGTTCAATTGTGTAAACGCCATGCCGCACTCAATCCGATCTCATGACGCTAAACCTCCGCCCTGCACAATGAACCAGGGGTCTTCTAGATCATTCAATCAATACCAGCGGTTGGCATCTCGGCATCGCCGTTGAAGTCCCGACGTCAAACGAAACCTCTACCGGTGAGCAACGACCTTGGTTTTCGCCAACTCTCGGGTCGTCGGGCTATGCCAGGTTCTACGGGTTACCGGCGTTCATAACTCGGAATGCTTATGTGAGGTCGCCGTCTAGATCCGCATCTGGATAAGCCACACGGTCTTGTCTCGCCTCATGTCTCGCTTCATGCCAGGTCGGAGCGCTCCGAGAAACGAAACGCCTCATGGCCTGACATGGGGAATGTTCCGGGAATGATGAACCCTCTGATCATTGGCAACTCTTGGTCAGGTATGATTGGCTGGTATCAGTATATGCTGCTTTTACTTACCTACCCGGGACCAATTTGTCAGTCTAAAGTCTCGAGGTAAAGTGCAAAGCTGATCTGTCGACTCTCGAACGATAGTCAGTCGAGCAATCGAGATTGTATCTCGGTAAATACGGTAAACCCCATTTGGTTTATCAAAGACAGCCAAGTATGTCTCGACGTTTTCGAGTGAGGGGCTTGACATGCAGCACACTCGAACCTCTTGGTATCATATAAGTCAAGAATGGGTCTATTGAGCGATGTTGCCCGCATCACTTGTCTCGTTTTTGGTTCATGCACCTCGGGAATATGATTCATTTGTCATAAATAACTGAGAAATATGCGGACCAGAAGTTCCGAGCACCAGCCATGATCGAGCTTACTATGTCGTGCCTACACACTGCTCTACACGTCTACCGACAACATTCTCAGCAATCAACCATGAGCGGATAGCATTGAAACACCCATAACTCCATTATCTCTCCCAAGTGGGTATAATTATTGGTGGTATCTTTTTGAGAAGAGACAGAAGAAAAGGACAAGTTTGGCCTTTCCATGAACATGAAGGCAACTCAAGCGGCTTAGGACTGGCCCATATTCGTACACTCAACCTAAGTGCTTACCACATCTTCGCATCTGTCCTAGACCGAATTCCATGTCACTCTCGTGTATTCGAGATTCATATTGGTTCAATATATAGAATAGGCCTTGTGATCGGACTCGAATAAGAGGAATATACTATCGAGTCAAGACCAGACCAGGAGTAACTCTACCACTGCAAAGTGAGTTCAATAAGGGCTCTATGCATCTGCCCAGCGCTAACGTGGCTAGAGACAAATACTTTCTGCAACCAGTGTATCTATGATGACTTCGACATTCGATGATGACTTTGCTCACGACCCCAAGAGTTCTGGGACTGAAGCAGAGACCAGAACAATCCTCATACCGTGTTCTGCTACCCTTCAAACGAAGCCAATACCACATCTTGCCTTCCATGCGATCAGCTGATTCTCCAGAATCTTTGATCAACGTACCAAAGAAGGACATGATTGTAGCTTCAGACTAGGCTCCTTCGGCTACGCCATCTCTTGACCTCGGCAGCCTTTCTTCGGGCAAGATCTGCGATGCTGGAGTTTGTGATCCGACCTTATCTGAAAGACTGAAAGAACACTAACACGTCCATCCTAAGCTTCCCGCCCACCACCTCCTCACCTCGTTTGAATGCATGGCATCACAACTAGCCGCCGCCAGTAGATCACGCCAAGCCACATTACTGACGGGCTGACCAGGATGAGCAGTTGCATTCTGCAGCATTGATGGCATTTCGACATACCGACTCGTGCGATGTCTATGATCCCCTGGGTTAGTCAGGCCTGGGGTCGACATATCCTGATGTAATTGCCTGCCGGTATCGTATCGACTTGCTTGAAATGGCTCCTAGGTATGTTGATCTACAAATATCCTTAACTTGTTGATTCCCTTTGGGCACTATAATGACATCACTGCTATTCATGGTGCAATTTCAAGAACCCGATTATTTCTGGGACCATTCATTTACACACGGAGACTATCATTACGATGTCAAGCTGTTATCGATTTACACCATCCCCGTATTCAGTCTCAAAAGCAATGCGAGGTCGGAAAATCATAGATGGAGTAATAACCGGCGATGACGTCGGTTATACCTGGAAGCAATCACTCGAACTCTAGTCAGCTAAGTATCTTTGCTATCTGCAATGAATCCGAAGTTGCTGAAAGCCTCATCAACTACATCAACACTGTTTATAAATGGCAACGTTGCCGAATAAATAATTGCAAGATAGGGGAATACCGTATTCTGAACGATGAAGAAACAGTACACACAAAACATCCAGAGATGGGTGTCCAAGTATGGTCTGCAAGCAGTTCAACTGAGTCGTTGCTGTCCGATCCTGATTTTCTGTGGTATCTAGAAGTGAACTGGAGTTCGAACGTTGATCTGTGGAGATTGACTTCCGTCACTCAACTGCAGGAAAGCCTTGGTCGAAAGCTAAGCCTGCGGGTTGATGCTCAACAAGGAATCCCTTCCTCCATGACACTTGGCACGACCGAACCGCATTGTTCTTTCTCTGCATTCCATCCGCAACCGGTACCGGTATTTGGATCACACGACCAGTGTTTTCAATGGTGTTGCTGAAGTGCAACTGAAGGGTAGACATGTTAAAGCTAAACCTTTTCAGTCAACGAAAGCATTTAGGCATTCTTGCATGGAAGCCAAGTCCAACACCTTTTTAGTCAGGACCCGTTAGCCATGCTTTATTAGCTCAATCCACATGAAAGGCAACGGCGTTGTGTGGTACCTCACATGTCGAGGAATCAGAACGAAGATGATTACGATACCGCTGACAATTGAGACTTCTGTGTGGAATGGAAGTTAGGCGATTGACCCAATGGCAGTTTGAAAGGAGCTAGCCCACTTCAACCTTCGGCCGGACGGTCACTGGTCTCGGCGGAAGACCTGGCACGGTCGCGGCGTGAAGAGATGGTAGATCGGTGTTGCGGCAGGGCTCACAGAAGTCCATTTAACTTGTGAAATAAGTCGCGGCTGAAAACCCACGACGAGATCTCGGGGATATTCACAAGTGAACCTAATACCCGCCCAGACATCCCGTTCTGCGCCCATGTGGGCTTGGGTTAAGCGGCTCAACGAATGAATTGTCATCTGTTTGGCGGCCATAGGACGGAGTGTTGATTGCAGAGGAGCTGAAGATACCCTTTAGTTCATCGGAAAGAAAGCCAAGCATGGCGGTCTTCCTAGGTGCCTGGATGTGAACTTATGACTTAGGTAGTCAACAATGGTCTGACTCGAAGCTCGGTATACGCCGCTGATCTAGAATTTAACAAGTGTTTCCGCTCAAAGTCAACTTCAGCTGTGATTGAATCAAGGTTGAGGCCTCGCAGACGTCGTTCCTTGAAAAGTGATCAAGATACAACTGGGGAATCGGCGTCATCAAAATACATCTTTGTGCCATTATAAGACAAGAACCACCAGCCACCTGCTTGGAAAGACCCTGGTTGCATTTTGTTGTGCAGGATGCCAACTTGGGGGCGATCGGCCGGGACTTGACAGCATTGAAGGTTGACAGCGGCACCAGTGTCCCGGACCAGTCCATTGCTGGATTGATATCCGGCAATACCTGTAATCTTATTGGTTTGAACCAAGTGCGCATTATGGAAAGTTCTAATCAAATGTCGGTACATCGTTGAACCACGGAACTTCCGTCAAGGTACTTTGCTTGTCTGTAGATTCTATATTCTGCGATGCTTCCGCGGATAGCTTCTGTGGAGAGCTTCTATGGTGGCGGAAATGTTGGAACACAGCCACACAGAGGTAAGGAGAAGCGGGCAAATGTATCTAATGAAATGTTTGTGCAGACGGCTTTGTATAAGTCACCAGTCATGGTGGCCGTTTGCGGGACAAGCCCAGGTAGTGTTTAGGAGATGTGCAAGGTTCAAGGTGGCCAGCAGACTAACGAGGCACTGTTTGTTATTAGGTAGGGTGTAAAGTTCTAAGTAATTCGTATGTACGTAGGTAAGGCTGGAGCTCACACATCGATTTAACGAACGAAAAGTTAATACAGTGACCCATGTTGAAGGTAATTTTGCCGAAGCGTTGAGATGGAATGGGTCGTCTTCATGTGATGGCGTTCCTGGGCTTATTCCTGAAATCGAGACAGGCAGCAGTGATGCCCGTGATTCGAATGTTCCCATGAGGGAAGGCGCAACCGTCGCCGTCTCTAGCTGCCGACCCTGGATCCTAGTTGTGAATAACGTTGTCACATTGACATTGGAGCCAGTTCAGGATATATGACATCCCCATGCGAAACGTCAAGCTATTACAGGGACGTACATTCGTGACAATGTAACGAGATCTCGTTTTCGACTCGCGCTTACCACTCAACTGGGACTATCTGACATTGGCATTGACCTGTCAGAAGGTCACAAGCACCACACAGCACGTTGATGCCACGTTGTTTACGTTACTGTCCAAGCTCAGACAAGAGTCATGAGCTTTGACATGATGCATAAAGACGTGCAGTGATTACTTGCGTAAACGGAAATTAGATCGTTGACGTTGCATCAGAGCGTTGCGCTACATCTACATCGACATCTCGGCCGGGATATCAGAGTTTGGCCTAATGCACCTCTCCCAGAACCCATGAGTGCTCTGACGTAAAGACTCTGCACGGTCCAGGTCGACTCGAGTCGTGAAACCACGACCCAAAACAGGAATGATATTCCCCTCTGAAAGCCAATTGCACTCATTGATCAGGTAAATACTTTACACTAGTCAAAAGGTGGTGATTTTTGGAGTTGTTAAATGCCCCCAAGGGAAGCCATCAGATTATCAGCCAACGAGCGGCTAGCCAGATGTCATTAATGACTATTTCACTGCCTTGATCGAATAGTTCACCTCGGGGGTGGTTCCGCTGCCGGCATCTAGGCATAGATTGTAGCCTTCTATGAGGTAGCTTCCCAAGCACTCTAGTGCTGTACCTTTATCTCGAGGAGGCTGGAAGCGTGCGTTTAGCGGCCGACTCTTTAAGGCTGATCTGTGGATATACAACTCGACATTCAATGAGAGGAGTTTCTCAATTATGGATACGCGAGATGAACCCGCCGACGCGATTTGTTTGTGAGGTTCTCGTTTCCATCCCGGACGGCAGTTCTTCTCCATTATCTCTTTTGATCACGATCTTCTTACCTGACTCAAGACAACTGTCCGTTAACCCGGGACAATGCGACATTGGGGCACAGGCAGGGAACTTTGCGATCACTTCTCAGCCAACGATAAGGGCATGTTCTTATGTAGATATTATTTTCCCTGTTAGCCTTGTAGTACTTGATGT